AACTTACATTTAGGAACTACATTAAGTGTAGTTTGCATTTGTCAACCTAATGTAGGCATCAAAGTGTTGCTCTTTGTCGGAGGACGTGCATCAATCGGCAATAGCTATCAGTTTGATTTTTAAAAAAATACTTGAAAAATCAATTAAAAAATTGTTTTGCTTCTTGGGAGACCTTGCAGTTCTCACTGCAAAAATATTTGTATCTGTGTGCTATGTGATTGAGAAGAACTGATACAAATAAAAAATAATTTAAAAATAAAAACGGCTAAAACATGATTTCTTCATTTGCTGTGATTTTCCGTTGCTGCCTGCCTCAGTCCTCAGACGCACAGCCCGTAGTAGCAGTACGACTCTGGGCCGCAGTGCGCGCACGCCTCGCCCGTCTGGTACATCCAGTCACCCACCACGTTGCCCGTCGGCCCGTAGTCGCACACGTAGAGGCGCGTGTTCCAGCGCCGCCCCGCGTAGTAGTCGTTGTACTCCGCGATGCCGCAGCCCACGAGAAAAGTGTCGGCCCAGCTGAGCTGCGTGAAGTGGCCCGTCACCGCTGAGAACCTTCAAAAGTCAGATCGGAACCCGAGTGAGAAACGGGATATCGAAACGATCTCGTCGAAATGAGAGAATCGAGGGCGTTAAGGTATCGTCCCGACATCGTTGGACATTTCCTCCCCGGCCGGCTCTGCCTCCCACCTGTACGGCCGCAGGGACTGGCGTCCGTTGTGTTTGGCTACCTCGTCGTACCACTTCCTCACCACCTTGCTCCAGTCGGGACGCTTGAGAGGGCGCGTCATGCGCTCCAGGTAGATGTTCTGGCCCACCGGAAAGCGCTCTGCAACAAGGGTCGCCACTGTCAGGGGATGGGCTGACTGGGCCAAATGACGGCTTGGTTCTGGTGCACCCGCCCCGCCCCGATCCAGGACTTGAACCCGGGCACCCAACCAGTGGCTCAACGGCTACGACTACCCCCCAACAACCCCCAACTCAATCCCGCCCACACCCACTCTCACGGCTCACGCCCCGCGACTCACCCACGTTGCGGCAGGTGTCGTGCTTGAACTGGCACTGGTCAGCCCACCGCTGGGCGATGGCTGCGAGCTCCTCGTCGTACCACTGCAGCCGGAACACACAGTGTGTTTGAGAACGAGGTGCGACTCGACGGGACAACACGACATTGTGACACACTCCACTCACCATGAGCCTCATGTTGGCGGCGGACGGCTGCGGCCCGGGCGAGCCGCGCGACTCCTCGCCGGTGGCCAGGATCCAGCGCACCGTGTTGTGGGCGGCCACCACCTCGTCCTGCTCCTCGCGCTGCAGCGGCCGGGACACCGACACGCCAGAGCGGCAGGCCGCGCCCTGGGTCTGGAGAACAAAGCAAGCCCCATCAGCACCGCGAGCGAACCCACTGCGAGTCGCGGGAGCACGGTACTCACGTAGTAACGACACAGGGTGTGATCGGGGCAGATGTCGCAGTAGCTGTAGTAGTTCCTGCCGGTGAAGTTGCCGTTGGCGGCGCTGTACCTCGCCGCGGCGTACCGCGCCGCGTCGGCCCATGGCACGCTCTGCTGCTCCAGCACGGCGTCCGCGTGGGCCGCCGCTGCCAGGATGGCGACGATGAAGAGCGACGCGAACAACGAGGCGGGCCTGGGGCTGCTGGACACACGGACCGACAGCAGGGCATCAGACTCTGGTGAATAGCAGTAGCTCGCCCAGGGAGGAATAGCGAAACGGTATCGTTTCGGTATCGTTATGAAAGTATTCGTGATTGATTATGGTTGGCCATCTGGAGTTGCGCTGCTTGCATTCAAAATGCAGTTTTCAACGAGTTGACGGGAAGGAACGATCAGTTCGCGATGCTCACCTCGACCCCCCGCGGCCCGACACGCGCAGGTGCACGCGGCTCTCCATGCCGGGGAGGACGTCCTCCAGGACAGGCCCCGCTGGAGCCAGAGAGGGGATCTGTCGGGCGCGCGCGCGAGTCGCAAAGTGGCGCCGCGGCTGCCGCGTTTCCGTGTAAGTGTAGGGCCCGTGGCCCGCGGGCGTGCCCAGGTAGGTGCGCGACCACGTGTCGGCTCCTCCCCGCCCCGCCCCGC